ATAAATATCAATATGTATTATATAAATTTAATTAAGATAAATAAGCTTTTAATATTTCAAAATACAGTTGCAAAACTAAAATTTATGTATTAATTTGACATTTTTTATATTAATTCATTTTATAAGAATAATTATTGTATTAGATAAATCTTCTATAATATTTTTCTAAATTTGTATTCATATATATATCTTTATAATATTTGATAAGTAAATCATAAATTGATTCTTCAAGATTAATATCTTCTGATTATAATATAATAGAAAAATTTATTTAGAAATTCCTTTACAATAATAATTTTAATATATTTCTGAAATTTAACAAAAATTAATACATTATTTATTGGCAAAATTTTTAGATTGCAGATCTACGTAAATCTGCAGTTTAACTTTTTTGTGCAGATCTTAATACACTAATATAATCTTTAAAGGTAAATTCCTGCGTAGATTTCTAAGAGGTAAATAAATATTTACGCAGAAATTTATTAATAAATCTATGAAATATTTCAAAATAATTCATATGTATAATTTTATTTATAGTATATAGTTCCACAATAAAAATATAAAATTATTAAAATTATTATTTATTTTGATATCTTGCAAATATAATAATATGATAATATTTACGAAATATAAATTAAAATACATTTTAAAAAAAAATAATAAACTGATATCATGTTAAAATCTTCAATCAAATTAGAGATCTATCAATAAATTAAATATATAATATTAATTAGTTTCAGTTAATAAAATAATTCAAAGTGCAGCAAATATATCAATAACTAATTAATGAATATTTCTTTAACTTACCATTTGGTCATAATCGTCATCATCCATTATTGCTTGACTTCCTTCAGCTTTCATTGACAGCTTGCTTCTCTTCTTTTTATATATAGCAGCTTCTTCGTTAGCTATCTGCTTTATAATTTCTAGTGTAATGAGGTTTTCATTTTCATAGATATGCTGTTTAATAAATAAAGTCAAATTTTAATACATCTAAAATATTCAAAAAATAGAATCCTGCAAATATATTTTCCAAAAAGGCATTTAATTGCTTTACTATAAACTTATCATTACACTTTATTTCAGAACTTTTAGGATTTAATAGAATATCACAAATAGAAAGGATATATACATAATGCATAGTCAAAAGTTCCTTTTCTTTATATTATTTGAACACAGTATATTCAATTATCATAAGTAGTTCTTAATTGAAAAAAAGTTCTTCATAGGCAGCTTGAATCTTTTCACTTAATTTCCATTTGGTAATTTGAATAAACAATGTATTATTATCAATATATTCTAGCTGTTATTTACTAAAGATAGCAAATATTACATAATGAATGCTCGCTACAATATCATTGCGTTTACTATAGGATTTATTTTTAATCTAAAAATAAAAATAAATATTAGAATTTATGAAGGTCTTTAAAGTTTTAAGATTCTAACTTACTTCTGATAATAATTTCTTCTCAAACATAAAAGTCCAGCTATTTTAACCTATACTTTCAATAAAATATTCTGCATTTTCTGATAGAAATTCCTCCAATGTCTTATAGAATTCAGCTGCTAAAGAAAATAATATGTTAGGTAGCAGTTAGTTAACAGATTCTCTATATATGCATTATAAAAATAATAATTTCTTAAGTATTTTAAAGTCAAAATGACAGATTAGCTAAATGTGTTAATAATTTATATTCTAAAAATCATCAGAGAATTCATCAAGTGCTATTAGTCTATTTAGTGCTTTTGTATTTTATTTATCAATTATTAATATATTTACTCAATTTATATAGTACAGTAAGTTTGTATTAATTAAATTCATTGCATATTTGTAATCTTCATTTATTATATACTCAGGATTTCCTGTGGTAGAAGTTTGCACTAATAGTATTAAAATTTCAATAAATACTGATTCATCTAAATTTTATCATTAGACCTATTAAAGAATTCATCATTAGCTTTATTTACATCTATAAGTAAAAATTCAGTTGAATTTTTATGAAAAAGTGAAGTTTTTTACTCTTTTTTGATATTAGCAATTATTAGATCAATTGATTTCTACGTAAAATAATTTTTGTTCATTATCTTCATCTATTAGTTTGAATGATATTCTGTGAGAAGTTTCCTTCTCTGAATCATTAGTTATTAAAGGAGTTATTTATTTTAGAATATTAAAAAATAAAAATATGAATATATATAGTCAACTCTTGTTATAACGAACTCTATATCCTAAACCTCAATTTCACTATAAAATTATAGTAAAAATTTTAAGAAATTTGATTGGCCAATTTGCTATAACAAGAGTAATTTTATTATATTTGTTTAAAAAATTTGTTATATCAAGAGTTTGCTATATTAAGAGTTGACTGTATATGTATATATATATTAACCAGATCTTTGATTACTTATTACGGAATAGCATTAAAAATATTTATTTTTGGTACTTTGAGAAGCCTTTTTTGTAATTGAACTGTTTCTATTGACATTTTACTTTAAACTTCAATCATATGTAACTTTTTGGTAACTTTTAGACTAGTTTTAGATATATTTGTTTAATATCAGTAAAAGAAAAATCAGCAAAAATTAATATTAAAAAATAGCAAATAAAAAATTAATATTAAAAATTAGCAAATGAAAAAAATTAAAATTAAAAATTAGTAAAAAATTTGAATGATTAAGAAAAATAGATGTATTAAATATTATAATAAAAATAAGAACTTATGGAACTGAGAAAGAAAAAGGAAGAATTTTATAGTTTAAAATTTGTTAAAAAAATGAAATAATCACGCTATTCAGTTAATAATTATCAAGTTACTGATAATAGATATAATTAAAAGTCTTAAAATTGAAATTAAGTAAAATCAATTACCTGATGAAATTAAAAGTCTTAAAATTGAAATTAAGTAAATTAACTCCTGATGCAATTAAAAGTCTTAAAATTAAATTAAGTAAAATTAATCCTCTGATGCAATTAAAAGTGAAAATTTATAATTCAAAAAAACTGAATAATTACATAAACTATAGAAATTCTCTTAACAAATCGTTGTTTTGAAATCAATAGTATTCTTACACAAATTTCTGAAGAAAAGAATTAACAAAATTAATAATAGACTATAATTTAAAATATAGAATTTGTAAGAGAGTTTTTATAACTTCTGGCAGACTAATATGATATATTAATACTATGTATCATAACAAAAAGTCACTTTCCTAAAGATCATAATCGCAAAAATTAAAATAAAGTCTAAAATATAATGAGAGCTTGTGAAGCATACTGATTATAATTTTAAAATCAACTTCACGTATTTTCACAGAAAACCTGCATCACAAGTAAATATAATGAACATAATATATGAAAATTTTAAAAATGAACCATGATATGATCTGCAAATTAAGTAGAATTTAATAGCGAAGAGAGTATTGAAAAAAATATTAACGAAATAGAAACAGACTTACAATTCAAAGATTACGATATCAATTTAAAGATTTTCAGAAAGCATCTTTAAATAATATTTAGATACTATTGAAAGAAAAAACAGACCTAAACATATTGCAATATGGCTAAATGAAGCATATCATGACTTTATAGAATTAATAATAGAGGTAATATATCTAATAAGATTAGTAATAAAATAATAAAAATTTTCAATAAATATAGTGATTTAAGAAAATCTCTATTACCAAGTTTGACAAAAATAGCAAAGATTATCTTAATCAAATAAATTCACCCTCAATAATTTTCAAAGAAAAAGTTATTATGACTTATAATAAACTTGATTTTATCGACTAATTTTTCATACGATTCAGGCTCTTCTATAACATTCAGAAGTAGCTGATAAATTTGTTCATAAAAGAATCCTAAAAAGATGTAAACAGTAGAATAAGAATATATGGTAAACTATATGAAAGTGACTAATGGTTAGAAATAAAGAAAGTCTTTTTACCCTATTATTCATCATTTTGTATTCAAATATAATAACCTTAACAAGTTATCAGAACATCCAGTATTCTTAATGCTTAGCAACCGTTTAAATTGATTTTAAAACTTATCAGAAGCAAAATTCTTTTAGGATTCTTGCCAAAAGTACAGGTTTCAGAAATCAAAACTGCTAAATCATTTAGAAATTTACAATGTGAAGTATTTCACAAGTATTTTGATATTATGCTTTGATCTTTATTAAAAAAATCTGATACATTATATTTTAAAGTCAAAGGATAGGATATGCATTTTGCTACACATGTATTATTTTTATTTCAAATATACTTAAAGCTAATAAAATAATAGCAATATATAAGTCAGTGCATTGTAAAATACTATATCATACTTGTATAGTTGAGTGGGATAATATGAATAATATGAATATTATGTTAGAGAATATGCCTTTCAAAACCTATGAAAATATGCAGAAATTATATAAAAAAGCTAAGGAAAAGACTTTTCTATACATTTTATTGAAAATGCTTTCTAGAAATTTCTGTAAGTATTATAATTTAACCTTCTGTTTAAATCGAAATCATTGTTCAAATTATTGCAAATTAAATTAATTAAACTGAATTTTAATAAAGAATTTTACTAACCATAACTGGGGGTGATCATCATTGATATCACGTAACCATATTAAATCACATGATCATACTAAGTTACGTATTTCAATATATTTTATTAAAAAAAAAATATATATATATCAAATTTTTATTTAAAGCAATACATTATTATTACTGATCCTGTTTGACATATTTTGCTTTATTTCTAGCATTATGACCAGATTCTTCACAAACTTTGCATATATATTTTCATTTGCTTGTATTTTCGCCTATATCATCAAGTGCTATATGATCATTATCTTATCCATGATTGCTAACATCATAGGTGTGTAAAAGGATCTTAATGAAGATTGTAAATTAGGATCAGGTGGATTAAGAGTACTAATTTTAGTGTTATAGTATGCATTTTCTAATGCTAATTTGATACATTTACATAGTGGATGTCTATGCCATTTTCAAACTAAAGGATCAGATACGCTCAAATTTTCTTTATTTTTATCATTCGTATCATCAATATCATTTTTCTTACGATTGATAAATCTATTAACTATATCAATAAATTCAGTTTCACAACCTAAATCCAGTGCTAAATTAAGAGCTTTTTTTATCTTTTCAAACCCATATGCATATTTTTCTTTTCTTTGTACACATTGTTTAACATCAGCTGTAAATGTATCTGATGCTCTAAGCTGATTAAGAATATGTAAATCGGCTACTAATAATTCATGATTACCATTACTATCTTGTTGGAATTGTATTTCTATTTCCACACATTCATATTACAAATTATTTTGATCATCTCTATCTTAAATATCTTCTAGATACTATCGCTTTGCAATAAGATGTATATTAAATTTTGTGACCTTAGAATTCATCATCACATGGAAAAAATGTGAACATACAAGTTCGCGATTAATTACAGCCAAATATGTGCATAAATGACCACCATCTATCAGTAAAATAACATAATGCTTATATGATTTGGTAAGACTAGTAAGTTTCCAAATTTCTATGATATTGAATAACTGGATTCTTTCTAATAGAAAAAAAATAAATGTTTGTGGCCTATCTAATTGATCTTTGAGAAATCTATCACCATAGTTGTGCTGATCGTTATCCTAATGAAAAATTTGTAAATGTCAAGTTTTCCTATCTTCTAATTTTTTAATCCCGTTCTAACATCTTTTTCGCTTTTAATATAACTTACCTTTGCAATATCAATTGCTTCTTTCAAAACAATTTTAGCATGGAATAATAAAGACCTGAGAATTTGTTGATGTTAGACTGATAGGATATGTGGAGTTAGATAACATTTCATTAATTTATTAATATTGAAAAATATGGGATCGATAATTGACTGTGCCTAGTTGGTTGGAAGACTATGAAGATATGTATTATACCGAGCCCATTTTGCTTTATTGTCTAATAATCTTTGTGTTTGATTATATAAGTTACATAACAAAGATGAACTATTAGCACCTTCTTTAATCAAATGGTTTATAACTTTGACCCTTTGTGTACTTTGAATACCAGCCGTAAAGTCTTTGAATTGATAACACCTGGCCTATGACTGATAAGAAGTATTTAAAGTTCTATTAAGATAATCTTGAACTAAAGGATACTTTTCAATCAATTGTGTCCAACAATGATAAAAATCATTCTCAAATAAGTTGTTTTGAGCATGTAAAAAATCTTTATAAAAAGATTTGTAATCCTGTTCTAATTTACTTGCCAAATTTTTCGTAGGTTTTCTTATATATAGAAAATACAAAGAAAGTAATGAGTATTAGGCATCTTTGATGCCACTGCTTTTATTAAAGCAGGATCAGAATTCAAAAATAAATAAGTAGGTGGAATATGATTAGTTGCGTAAAGAATACAGTCAAGGAATTATTCATAACTTTCAACTGTTTCGTCTTCTGACAAATATTAAGCAATAAGACGACTTTTGGTGTTATTATTCACAACAATTAGCATTATTAAATACATGTCAAACCAGTTAGTTTGACATATATTATTCGTTTGTATTACATCATTATAGTGTATAAGGCATTGATTCTGACTAAGTGACATCCAAAACAGACTTACAAGTCAGTTATCAAAAGGATCAATTATTGTGTGAATGATCCATCTGGGTTCTTAATCTTTTAAATTAAGTAACGTATTGATTATATTTTGTGCATCTCTATATCGGTTAGTAAATAGGACTTTAAACCTTTGAATTGCATTGTGAAGATTCCTTTTATGAATATATTAATCTGAAAAACTTGCAACCAATAAGAGATATATTTGTTTTGAACCTATATTTCCTTTGGTAACATAAAATTTGATCCTTTCTATTATATCATCTGAAAGATAACGGTACTTAGGAGCATATAAATATGTATCAGGTATCATAAGATGATTATATTATCTAATGATGCTATTAACTCTTATTTCTGATGATGACTTCAGATTTGTAATATAAATGTGCCATAGGCACATTATTTTTCTGGATGAGTGCTGCTATTGGTAATTTATATCAATCATCTGATTAGAAATTGGTTTACCAGAAAAATTGCATTCAAATATATGACATTAAACTATCCCATCATTATTAAACTCAACGCGCTTCTGACATATAAAAAATCCTGCTGTTTTTGCATATAGATTGAGCTTTATATCCACCTCATCCCATAAAGAAAAAGTATTACCAACATTAATTTGTACTTCATTTTCAATTTTTTTTCTAGAAGTATCAGATTCTCTGACAAGAACAATGGAACCTCTAATATCAGAATCATCTTTAAAAGCAACTGAACCTTCAGCAAATGTAGCATTAAAATCCTTTGCAAAGGATATAGAACCTTTAGCAAAGGCAACAGAGCCACTAGAATTTCCAACGAAGGTAACAGAACCTTCTATAAAAGTAGCAGACTCTTTTTATTTTGCTTAAATAAGTTTGATTATCTTCGGTAAAAAAAAAACATAAATCATAAACTTTTATACAAAAGACATAAGAAACAGCAAGACTTATGAAAGTTTATATTTACCATCTATAGTGGTAAAAGACGTAAATTAAAGACAAAAGGCAAGAAAACAAAAGGTTTAAAATTTAGAAATCCACATCAAAGATACTTTCTAAAGAAGTTTCTTCTTCTTAAATTAGTTTTTCCATTATTATTAATACAAAAAGAATGTATGTTAAATTTGCAAAAGAAAGTAAGCAAAAGAGCAGCAAATATATAACACTAGCAAATATGTAACACTTTTTTTTTATTTATCTATTATTGTATCACATGTCATACACATGACATCACATAAATATTATTGTCATGTGATACCGGTGATGATCACCCCTAGTGATTTTAAGTAAATACCTTTAATAAAATTTCATAGAAATCTGAATATTTATGAAGCTTGTATTTCTGAATGCATGTATCATATTAATCTTGAACTATTTAAGTATCAATTAGAATTTATGCAGAAGATTTTAAAAAATGCTAAAGAAATAGAATTGCTAAATGTTTTTGATAAATAACTCCATCAGATTCCTCACTTTTTTAGTCTCAAATGAGATGAAATAACTTGTAATAAACTTTGTGATCTTTATTTAAAGTTTAGTAAAATGTATATAATAAGCAGAAAAGAATCATATACAGAAAATAATATAAGAAAATTTGAGGTAATTGCATTAGTATTTAGTTGAAAATTATTTAAATTTAAATTATATTAACAAATTCTATTAACAGAAATCAATTACTGATTAATATACTGACTTCAAGAGACTATTCTCTTCATTGTTTTTGATAGAATGCAGTTTTCCTAAATTGTATAGCTAATGATATTATGCAGGTAACTGGTTCTTTAAAGTTATAAATTATGATTTTATAACTAACAACTAATTTTGATTTTTTCATATTCAATTCTAATTTTAGTTTTAGCAATTCATAAATATGAAGCGTTAAACGAGCTGTTCACTAAAACTTATGAAACTTTTCACAAATTTTATATCAAAATTCTTATCAGTCATCAAACAGGAAAAATATAATATAGCAACTTTTAATGCTATTAGTTAAAGTTCAAATTATTTTTCTCCTAAAATAAATTAATATTGACTCAAAAATTTAATGCAATTTTTAGATAAAAAGTAATGAATTGTCACCAACAGTTAGCAAAGTTATTTAATGTAAAATTGAAGGGTTTAGAAAGTTTCTTTAGGAATTTCATCTAGATACCATTGATCAAAAAATAAATTCTTTTAAAAAATCAAAAAATTCTTCACATATGAATTTTAATTAAGGATTATCTCAAATAATTTTAGTTCTAAATATCTTTTTAGATACATTATCACAGGATTCAGAAAGTAATAACTTTTATATTAAAATTTACGAATTAGTTCATTTAGAAAATAAAAAGATTTTAAGAACATCTGAAGAATTTCAAAGTAAAGTATAGTTTAACAATATGATGGTATCTTCTGTAGATGATTAAGAACAATACAGTTCAGATAAGAACATATGGTATGAAAAGTAAGTGAATTTCCTGGCTAAAGAATATCATTTTTTTTTTCTTAGTATTTTTAACAAAATATTTTTACAGGTATTATTGTTATTCAAATTCTTTCAGAGATCATTTAAAAAGCTATAAAACTTACTTTTATTTGTTGATATAATATTCAATCAGAAGTATCTGAAATTTATAGCTTTCTACAATTATATTACATCAAAAAATACAATGCAATTCTGATAGATTCTATCAATTGAGAAGTATATATCATGCTGAAGTTTAATAAGAAAAATTGTTTTTTATTAAACAAATATATGTTTTAAATAAAGTTAATATTAACCAATTTTAGTTTGCCAAAAAATGAAAAAGAAAAGAAAGCGAAAGATTTTTTCAAAAAAATATCTAAGTTTCAGTTAAATAAACTTTAAATAGATAAACTTTATGATAAACTTCAAAAGAAATCAAATATTTTTAAAAATTATACATTTTATAGATTGTCACAGATTTTTATTAAAGGGATTTTGTAAAATGCAATGATCTATGCTTTTATAGATTTATATTAAAAAGTTTTTAAAAAAATGGCAATAATCTGCAGTTTTACAGATTATTACATATTTTTAAAAATTTGACTAAAATAATTGCGCAGATTCTATAAAATTATAGAACTGCACAAATCTGTGTCTTAAAAATTTTTCTGATGATTAATAACTTAATAATAATTTATATGCTAAATAAAATAATTATACCAATTTTAAATCTCTATAAAATATATAATTACTATTATTACTAATTTTACTAATATTACAGTTAAGGTCTAAATGGAAAAAGGTAAAATTTATTAAAATTATATAAATTTTTGTTAAAAAATCTACGAAATTCTAAAAAAGGTGAAACTATATTAAAGCTTATAAAATGCAAAATTATATCAAAACCTTAGTAAAAATTTAGCAAAACTATAGTTTAGACATTTTATCATATCTAAAATGAGTTTAAACAAGTAATATTAATCACAGTTTTCATAATTTTATTTAATAAATTTATTTTATCATTTATCATTATTTTATTTATTAACTTTATTATTATATTATATTTAATATCTCTTTATTAAATATAATATATATTATCATCTTGATAAAGAAACAAGTTTTCATCTTACATTTTATCAATAAAGTATAATCTTAATAATATAAAAACTTAAATCTTTACTATTATCAATTTCTTTAAAACATAAATTATCAATAAAGATGTTTTTGATCTTTTAATTTAATAAATTACTTTTACAATTTAATAAACTTAAATTCTCTATTAGCAAATAAGCTTTATTATTTTAATAATATAGTGTTTATACTTAATAAGTGGTGATTTCTACTGTTAACGTGTAATTCTTATGAACTACAACTATTAGATAGGGTATTCAAGCAGTTTATTCTTTTTAATTGTATAGTAATCTTTTAATAGTTGGCAAGTTTTAATTCAGATGATTTATCAAAAGTGTTTAGATTATTACAATGAACGGTGATTTAACAGATTACCAGTAATTATATTTGTAAAATAATGTGTTTATTTACAAGTAAAATAATAGAAATAAAAGAAAAGAAATAAAGATAAAATGAGAAAAGAAAGAAATAAATTACTAAAACTAATATGTTATACGGTAGGCCAGTTACCTTTAAAACTACTAAAACTAACTTGTCAAGTTCCTATCTGTTTCTCTTTTACATGAACTAAAAAGCTATCAATTTATATAAAATAATTTACATATAAAGATTAACTAACATGTCTACTATGTCAACTATGTCTAATATATCAACTATATTTAATATGTCAACTATGTAGAATATGTCAGTTATGTCACATATGTCTGACATATCACATATATCACTTATGTCAATTTAATCGATCTTCTATACTACATAAGCTGTATCACATTTACCCGTTCACACTACCTAGTAAAATAAAACTAATAGTGTAAATTTAATCAACTGTATAGTATATAAAATAAAATATAAGATATATATAATATATACTACACAATTTAGAAGTTAATAATATGTTATATTTAAATAATATTAAAATTATATGATATATATTATTATAGTATATATTTTTGTATTTAATACATAATTGTGAAACTTTAAAAAATAAATAAAATTTTTTAAATTTATACTAACATATGTAAAAAACTTCTATTTAATAATAATATATATTTGAGAATTTTATATGATCAATTAATACATAATATTTTTATTTTATAAAAAAATTTCATTATTTATTAAATTTATATTCAAAATATTTAATATATTTATATTTATAAAATTTGATTATTTTAAAATTTAATAATTTTATTAAATAAGGTTTTTGCAATAAAAAGGTAGAAAACTGTCAGAAAAAATCAGTTTTACTTCTATATGCTAAATATGATTTTTAAGTCAAAATATGTTCAGATTTTGCATTAACTCATTTTTTATTTTTCTAGCTATTTTACCCTTTCTATTGCAAAGATCACAAATAATTTTTAGTTTTTATTCTTTTAATTTAATTTACATTTTTTTAAAACTAAAACTTATTTTTTATATTTAAGTTCACTAATTTTTAAACTTAATTCATTCTTCTTATCATCTTTTTTAATATTAGAATTAATTATTATATTTTTTTAAGCTTTTTTTTTTACAGTTTTATTTACTTAATAAAATCTTAGTTTTAGTAACAGTATTAATTACATCCCTTTTTAGATTCTTTCTTATTAGTAAATCATAATTTACATTTTATAGAAATTGATTTTACCTGTATATTAGCTGTATAAATAATAAAATATTTAAATTATTAATGTAAATATAAATATAACATAAAAAATAATATAATTATTATATATTTTAATATATAAACTAATTTACTTTAACATTTTTAGATAAAATATTATGAGTAATTAGATATTTATTCTATTTATGAGTAGATGCAATTAATTCTTGATATAGCAAACTTTTGATATAATGAATTTTTTGAATAAATATAATAAAAATACTTTTATTATAGTAAATGGCTAATTAAATCTCTTAAAATCTTCACTATAGCCTTATAGTAAAGTTAAGATCTAGAACATAAAGTTCATTATAATAAGAGTTAACCATATATTGTATTTTTGATGAATATAAATTGCATTAAATCTTTCTTTATTTAATTTAAAAAATATTGCATTTATAGTATATATACTATAAATATTTTAAGATTTTTTAATAATGGTTCTTAAAGCATAAGCAACTTTATCTGTATTAGTATTATTAGAAGATATTAACTAAATATTATCATCAATTTTTGACATGCATTTATTAAGTAATACAATGATCTATTTTGATAATAAAATATAATTCAATATAATGAATATAAAAAAAAAATAAAAAAATATTTTTTAATAAACTAACTAAAAAATTTAATACTAATTAGCAGTATTTTTATCAATTTTTTGAATTTTATCAAATACTTGATTAATTATAAAAATGCATAAATAATAT